TAATTATGATTTGTTAAGCTTCCGCAATATTGAAAACTCCGCACTGTATATGTTATGAAAAATATTATCGTGATAAATAAAAGTGTTTGAAAAGTTTTAAATTTTACGATTACCAAGTTAATACTTTAGTCCGAAAGGGGCTGCAGACCTGGACGGATTAGGGTGTTACATTTTGGTATCGGAGCAAATGGTTTTAAAACCGATCTTCGGATCAAAATTTGAAATTAAAAAAAAATGTGTCAGTCACATCCACGACTCTCGCATCCCTCTGCTCCAGGAAAGGTATGAGAATTTACTAGATACATATTGACTTTGTTAAAATTCTCATTAAATAAAAATTGTTAGTTCTAAAATTATATCGAGTGTAGACTCAAGTAGAAATTTTCGTACTCGGTGAGGAGACGAAAGAATGAAAAAAAATATATGACCCTCTAATCCGTTATTAACGTACGCATCGCATCGCGAATTACGAAACTGATCTGCCTCGTAAAGTCGCATGGAAGTGAGATGACTCTGAAGAAATGAATAATGTTGATTTTACGAAGAACATCTGTGAACCCGATGCTGGAGATCCTCAAGTGGACTAAACACGATTGGATCGCTGATTCAAACGTTTAGAATCAATAAACTCTGTTATATAAAGTATTTCGTTCCGTTATATCTTGTAAATCAAAATTATTCGTTAAGCAACAATTCCTTGCAAAACCTCGTTGAAATACCATAAAAGGAAATTGACGTTATCCTTAGTATGAATTGGCTCACTAAAGACCAATGACGGTAACCTCATAGAGGTGAAAGCAAAGCTGAATACTAAACCGACCAAGTTCATCTCGAATATATATACGAAAACATCTCAAGTGTGAAGTCTATTCGTGCGATACCCAAAAAGAAACATCTAAGCTGAAGGAACGTACCGAAAGTATGTCACCCCTCTGATATGAACTTCTTTATATTTCACCGTTCCAAGAAATTGAAAACTCCGTCAATCTTGATCCTCGAGAGGACCAATATTTGTAACTCTGTATTGAATATGTTTCCGTCAAAACTAAAAACTCAACTATGAAGATTGCCTGACAAGGAATCATCTGACAAAGTGTTTTCTCTAATGGAGAGTATCTGTTCTGTTCAAACGTGAATAAGGAAGAATCAATGAGACTCTATATCAACTACTGTCAGTTGAACAATTCGTTATCCTTTACTTAATATCATGACTTATTTGATCAGCTTAGAGGATCCATTGTATTCTCTAAGATTAACTTACGGTCAAGATACTAACACATCTCTGTTAAGAATGATGGACAAACTGACGATCGAGAATCGCTACCCTTTACTACGTATAGATGATTTGTTCGAAGAACCTGTTTGTTAAAAGCTATAAACATCTCGAACATGTTGAATGAACTGATGCCTTGCTATGAAGCGACTACTGATTTAGTTGTTTATCGTCAAAAACGTCGATGTAGTCTG